GTTTAGTTTAGTTTAGTTTAGTTTAGTTTAGTTTAGTTTAGTTTAGTTTAGTTTAGTTTAGTTTAGTTTAGTTTAGTTTATTGTCATTGAACCTCTACAATGAAATCAAACACCATCTTCAGTGCACATCATGATCATGAAAATAAACACAAACACACATCCTTCACACCCCACACATTGAATTGAAAACCCACAACACCACACCAACACTGCACTACACAGTAGAATTCAACAGAGCTACTGCCCTGGGATAGAAGCTGTTTTTCAGCCTATTTATCCTATTTGGATGCCTCCAGAGACCCAAGATGATTGGCCCTGGAAAAGTCCAAACAACATCACTCCATTGATGGGTAGCAAACCTTCCTTCACAGGAACACTTCACACCAACTCACTTCCCCACCCCAAATGCCCAAAAAACCCCTCTCTGTTTCCATGGCAACTGAAGGCAAGCAAGCTGCAAATTGCATTCTGCAGATCCGGCTGACAATAACCAACCAAGATTTTTCTTTCAGGACTAATGGAAAGACAACTAGAAAAAAATCATGGAACATTGCATTCTTGTATATGATAATCGCAGCAAGGTTATTATATGCTCTCAAGTGGAAAGGTTCAGCACTGCCTCTAATGGAGAACGGTTGGTGAAAATGATGGAACTTACAGAGATGGCTACGTTGGCTTCCTGGTTCAGAGAAAAGGCATCTATATTTACGGCTGATTGGAAAACCTTAATAAATCTTTTCGCATGAAACAGAAAAACTGACTTTTTAATTTCTGGTTTTGATGATCCAAAAATATTAAATAATAGAAAATAGAGAGTCTTTTTTGAAATCATAGAGTAAGAGATAGCTATGAATTCATACCTGTATTTGCTGCAAAGGAAATTGGAAGATTTTTTTTTCTATTTCTTTTTATCTTTTCTTTTTGCCTCTTTTGCTTTTCTTCCCCCCCTTTTTTCCCCTTTGTATTAGCTTTTGCTAGTTTTTTAATCTTCTTTTTAAAACATTTAATTAAATGTGTATAAAAAAGAAAAGTAACCTTCTGAGAAAGAGAGAGCAGGAATTGAAATGGGAGACAGATGACCTCCAGTGAAAACAGATGCTTATTGTGCCTTTCCTGGATTGACATATAAATGACAATTGACAATAGAGATATATGGCAAAACAAATCCTCCTCAGATTGTGACAATGTGACATATAGTTTCTACTATGGCTTTGCATATTTCTTAACAACATGGTAAATGTGGTATAAAAATAAAAGGATTACAAAGTTTATAGTAACTTTGGTGGAGAAATCAAACATAGGCAATTAGCGATACAGTTTGACATAATTGTCATTTTCCATAAGTAGACAAATAGAAATAGCAGACTTATAGACTTATATACCACTTCATAATGCTTTACAGCCCTCTCTAAGTGGTTTACAGAGCCATCATATTGCCTCCAACAATCTGGGTCCTCATTTTACCAATCTCAGAAGGATGGGAATCTGAGTCAACCTTGAGCTGGTCAGGATTGAACTCCTGGCATTGGGCAGAGCTCGCCTGCAATACTGCATTCTAGCCACTGCACCATGGCTCCTAAATTAAAATCCTTGGGAAAACCAAGGAGAGAGAGAGAGAGAGAGAGAGAGATCTACTTTTATTACTTTGTATGTAGTATGTAGAATGTATATAGATAACTTTAAAAAGAAGCCAGGCATGAGTTGTTGTTGTGGGAAAAATACAGTAGTAGGTATGTTTACCACCTCATATATGAAACTCAAGGTGGTAAACATATCTAGCACTCCTTCCTCCTTCTATTTTTCCACAACGACAACAACCCATGCCTGGCTTCTTCTTAAAGTTATCTGTCAAGATGGCATAAATGGTTTCCCTTAACATAATTTTGTGATTCTGTTCCCTAAACTTCGTGCTGCCATCACATTTTTTGACATCTGTTTATCTGGCTTTTGAGAATTATGCTTGGAATAGTCAATTCTTATATGCCACTTCATACTTTCATGGTTTAGTATAGCTATATACTGTATTTTCTTGGCTCAACTTCTTTAGTATCTAGTCTAATTTTCTATCTATCTATGTATCTATCTATCTATGTACCTATCTATCTATCTATTTCTGCCCATCTCCCTCAGAGAAAGAGAGAATCAATGTCTTTGTTATGTGTTTATATTGGACCAACATAATGTCTGGATTTTCATATCATGATAAGCCATAATTTCGCTCAGATCTTAGTTAATGTGCTGGTTGAAACCACCTAATGTGGTTTTTAAATCAGGGCTTTAACATGCTATTGTTCAAACTCAGATAATTCTGGTTTATTCTCCAATCATGCTTAGGTAAACAATGACTTAATACAACAAGGATACTCATCCAGTATCCTAGAGCAACATTTCTTTTCTTTCTTTGTTTTTATTAAAAATAGATTCCAAGTTGCCTGTGTATATAATCAGAAGCTTATTTTTTTATTGGAAAAGCCAATCTGTACACCCAATTGTGTTTGATATTGTTTCTTGTAGAGATCTGATACAGCAGAATGGAAAAGAAGATAGAGATGTTGCAACAAAACTTCTGGGTCAGTGGACATCCTTTGGTCTTGAAGATGTCCAGTTCATCAATTACACTGTCTTGCTTGACCTGCCAGGTTCTTCTCCAAATACAGTGACTCTGAATAACACTGGGGAATGCTACTATCCTAATGGACAACCATGTAACAAAGAGACTCACTACAGTCAAGACCTTCCATATGCCTATGCTGCTTACTCTGCCAAAGGAACCCTCACGGTAATATGACCATTTGTATGTGTTATATTGGTATAAAAATCAAGCAGAAAGGCAGGAAAAGCCCCATTTAGATGTAAGCCTGTTGAATGATATACTATATTCTCTTCCAATGGCACGAGAACAAGAAGACTTATGGAGGTCAGCAATACAAACCATGAAACACTGTGCCATGTCTATGGAGATTCTAAATGATTCATGTCATGTTTGTCCCAAAGATGCTTTTCCAAAGGCAACTGGACTTTCTTTTTTTCCTTTGAAAATGTTTCACTGCTCATCCAAGTAGCTTTTTCAGTTCTAACTGACTGGTGGGGAATAAAAGGATTTATATTCTTTGTAGTCATCTAGTCATTAGCACTCTGGAGGTCAGTCATTGAGGCCACTTGGGGGTTTATCTGTATCCCCAGAGCTATGGTGGCACAGTGTTTAGAATGCAGTACTGCAGACTATTTCTACTGACTGCTGGCTGACTGTAATTTGGCAGTTCAAATCTCACCAGGCTCAAGGTTGATTCAGCCTTCCATCTTTCCGAGGTGGGTAAAATGAAAACTCAGATTGTTGGGGGCAATATGCTGATTCTGTAATCTGCTTAAAGAGGGCTGTAAAGCACTGTGAAGTGCTATATAAGTCTAAGTGGTATTGCTATTGCTCAGAGTCACCTGAAGTAGAGTTCAAATGGGTATGGAACATTCTTGGGACAGTTGAAAGGACTGTGTTGTTAAGAAGAGATAAGTAATGTCATATCCCTCCCCTCTGTTCCATTCAGTTTTAACAAAATGGTCTTTTTAAACCCTCAAATCAATGGTCCACTCTGTCCAGAATGTGAACTTTGCTGTCTTCAGAAGAATGACCTTAGCCTTTCAGATGCAGATGGACTAAACAACCAATTGCTGCTAGTTGCTATTGCAACTGCTGTTGCAAGTGGACATGGTCACATAACATCAAGCTTTACAACACCCTCACTTAGTGATGGGGTTACTTGTCCCAATTACCATTGTTAAGTGAGGACTACCTGAACACTAATCAAGATATACAGTTTGTATTTTCTAAACTAACCAAAGAAGTGTTCCCAACCACTTTGTAGTTTAAGGATCATGTAGTACACAATAATTTTGCTTGTTTAAATTTGGAATTGTCCATCAAAGAAAAGATATCCGTGTATCCTCAATTTTTTTAAAAAAAAACCTCACTTAGGTTTCAGCCAGATTCAACGCATGGCTTTTCTCAACATGGAGTAGAATGCACTTTTTAATAAGGAGACATCTACTAATGGGATTATTAATTAGAAGCAGTACAATTCACCCCTCCCCCTAAAAAAAAAATCTCCTCAGGCAAGATGGCTAAATACAACATGAGAGGATTAAAACATATAACCCTTATATACTTAACTGTATAGCTTGGATAGATCAATTGTCAATATTGTAAGACAATTCATTTATGAAGTAATTTGTGGATGTTTTTAATAAAAAAGAGGAAACCCACATCTATATATTAATATATATCTAGTTTGGTCATCAGAGCCCACAGTTAAAATATCCTTATTTATGCGAGATTATTATTTGTTCTCAAACTGTACAGACTAGAACTCACAGAGCAATTTTTCATCTGAAACTGCTACATGATTATACATACCCAACCTTTCCTGCTACTTGTATTTAACATTTATTTTATCTTAGGTGAGAACCAAGCATTGGTGTGAAGAATCTAAGCCCAAAGGAATTTGTGATCTATATTTGTGCATAGAACAGGAGCATATGGGGAGATAAATTTACAAGCATCCCCACCTGCTTTTGAGCATTGCCTGCTCTGGATATATGTAGGCCTCAAAAAATGAAGATCCATCTGGTGTTCATACTGTATAATTAAACTTAGCCACCTGCAAATGTAAAAAGAATTAAGGCTTTTGCTAGAGACAAAGCCCTATTAAGTGTACCTAATTATGCCTCTCTACCATCTGAGCTAATGTAATCAATGCTCTGATGGTGCAAGCTTTCTGCATGATGCCACAACTACTTATATCTTTAAGATGAGGAAGCTAATTCCAATAGTAAAATTTCCTTTTGAAAACTGTAGCCTGATTGCTTATAATTTGCAATCTTTATATATCACATTGATGATGTTAGCATCCATGGTTATGGAATGAAATTCCATTGTCCCTAGTTTCACTCAATCATTGTGAATATGTGGGGGGAGAAATTCATCTCCTATCATAATTATGCTGTGGGGAAGAGAGACAAATGACAAAATGTACATTGTAATGTCAAAACACAAAGTACACGGCTTACATGATTGGAAGGCCAGATTTGCCTCAGGATGTCATGATCAACATTTTGTTATTTTCATGATATCTGAAGTTATGCTTCCAAATATTGATGGTGTTTCTATATAATAATAACAAAATATCAGAGTTGGAAGGGACCTTGGAGGTCTTCTATTCCAATCCCTGCTCATGCAGAAGACCTTATACCATTTCAGATAAATGATTGTCCAGTATCTTCTTAAAAACCTCCAGCGTATGGAGGAAAGTCATTTCACTGATTAATTGTTCTAACTATAAGCAGATTTCACTTTAGTTCTAGTTGGTTCTCTCCTTGATAAGTTTCCATCAGCCGTCCAGGTCATGGTTGTTCCAAAAAATGCTTTTTCAAGAGGCAACTGGCCTTTCTGGTTTTTCTTTAAAGATGTTTCCCTTCTCATCCAAGAAGCTTCTTCAGCTCTGACTGGATGGGAGGGAATTAGATCAGGATTAGATTCAGCAGTCCACCTTTGGGCTTAGATTCCTCACACCAATGCTTGGTTCTCACCTAAGATAAAATAAAGACAAAGGCTACTCTTTTGAAGACAGCAAAGTCCACATTTTGGGCAGAGAGGACCACTGGTTTAAAAGAGGGGTCCAAGAGGCCATCTATGTCAAAATTGAACAGCACTTTTTCTCAATAGAGGGGGAGGGATACAATATCATTTATCTCCAGTCTACAACACAGACCTTTCAACAGTTCCAAGAAGGCTCCACACCCATTTGTACTACTCAGGTGATCCTGAGGATACCCATAAATCTCCAGGTGGCCTTAACGACTCACTAAAAGAACGCAAATGACCAGCTGTCTGCAAGGAGTATAAATCCATCCAGTCAGAGCTGAAGAAGCTTCTTGGATGAGAAGCAAAATGTCTTCAAAGAAAAACCAGAAAGTCCAGTTGCCTCTTGAAAAAGCACCTTTGGGATTTCCATCCATTTTTTTTTTTGCTTCTTGTCCTCCCTTCAGGGGCTTTGATTAGCAGGATTCAAAGATGCCTCAAGGTAAAAGGTAAGAAAAATAACCACTGTTTTCGGTTCCAAAGAGACCTACGGAAAAAGTGAGTCTGCTTCTTCCCTTTTCTTTGTCTTACTATTCTAATGGAAAATTGAAGATGAACCATTTTGTAAGTGAAAGTGCTAATCTGACTCTCTTCTTTATGCTTCAAAGATAACAGATCAATATACCCTTACTAAATATATTTATATAGCTTAGGTTTGTATATTCCCACATATAGAATGAAATCATGCTGTATTTTTAATACAATCTGTACAGGAAGAACATCTCCATAGGGCTGTAAACTCTCTGCTTCTCAAACAGAGACTAGGAGTACAGATATTGGATATTATAAATATATCTCCATTTGCATGAGATGCAAAGGGGCTAGGTGACTTCACCTGTATCATGATGTCATCATGTAAATTATGAAAAGTATTTTCTGTACATAATTTTGACTCAACTAATGGAAATTGATGCCATAATCAGAATTGTATTTTCCAGATGCCTACATTTTTCCCCCCTTTTAATGACCCCCATAGTCCCTTATATCAGGGTGGAGTTGGGGCAACTGAATGGAGCTGAGTGTTTACTGTCCGGATGCCCTTCCTGTCGCCAATGCAGAGTTCACAGCAGATAATTACACATTGTGCCCCGAGAGAGAAATATCTGCCACTACCTAGGATTGAACTCACAGCCTTCTGATTGTGAGGCAAGAGCTCCTCTTCTAGGCCATTGTACCACTCATACATATGCTGTTTCTAAATGATGGTAGCAGCCTTTAATATTTAATATAATATTATAATAATTTAATATATTTAATATTTAATATAAGAATATGCAATATTCTTAATGGTCTAACACAATATCCCAGATTGTGATGTTGATTTGAATTTTAATCACTACCTCCTATTCTGATTTATTACTAATTAAATTTGTCCAGCATGAAACAAACAAATCAAGATTGAAATTTGCATTTTGCATGAAAATGTTACTTATTAGATTCATAGTCTACCTTTCCTTCTCAAGTTTATAGAGCACGATGCCTTCCATTCACACCTACAATTAACCCGGGAAATATTGGTTCAGAGGTGGTATTCAGCAGGTTCTAACCAGTTCTGGAAGAACCGGTAACAGAAATTTTGAATGGTTCAGAGTACCAGCAAATCCCACCTCTGGCTGGTCCCGCCCCCATCTATTCTCTGTCTCCTGAGTCCCAGCTGATTGGCTGGGTCTTCTTTTGTTTCCCTGCACAGGAGAATGGAGCTGGAAAGCAGGTTAGTGGGGTCGGAGCGAATGGGATTTTGCCATAACCTTCCCCCAGGATAGGGGTGGGAATGAAGATTTTGCAGTATCCTTCCCCTTCGATTTCCACCAAGCCACGCCCACCAAGCCACACCACGCCTACCAAGCCACGCCCACAGAACCAGTAGTAAAAAAAAAAATGAATCCTACCACTATATTGGTTGATTGTGACTGTTCCAAAGTCATCTGGATAAGTTTCATGGCTGAAGATAGCCTTGAACATGGATGTCTCCCATTCTCATCTATCAATCACCATATTGAGTTCAGACAGCCATATCCTATAGAACAGATTATTGAGGGAAAAGTTAATGATCTAAACACAAAGTAGAACATGGTTAGCTGTATTTCTTGAAACAACCAGAGTGATACCTAAAACATAATGAACGGGATAGATTTTTCTACATATCT